CATATTCACTTGGAAGCCCGCTAACATGCCCGAGGTTCCTACACTCATTGCTGATCACAGCCTAGGCATCCAATTGGTCGCAATTCGGGTCAGGCAATCCCTTGGACACTTCGCCACAAAAAAGCGTCGAGCAATTGGAAAAGAAATCACTCAACTTCTCATTGCAAGGTTCATTAGGGCGGTCGCTAGCTCACCCCGAGTGGCTGGCGATGAAGGAAATATGCCCTAGAGGCAATAATAAAGTTATTATTTATTTCCTTATTTCATGATAAATGTTTATTATTCATGCTAGAATTGTATTAACCGGAAACATAATACATGTGTGAATACATAGACAAACATAGTGTCACTAGTATGCCTCTACTTGACTAGCTCGTTGAATCAAAGATGGTTAAGTTTCCTAGCCATAGACATGAGTTGTCATTTGATTAACGGGATCACATCATTAGGAGAATGATGTGATTGACTTGACCCATTCCGTTAGCCTAGCACTTGATCGTTTAGTATGTTGCTATTGCTTTCTTCATGACTTATACATGTTCCTGTAACTATGAGATTATGCAACTCCCCTTTACCGGAGGAACACTTTGGGTGCTATCAAACGTCACAACGTAACTGGGTCATTATAAAGGAGTACTACAGGTGTCTCCAAAGGTATATGTTGGGTTGGCGTATTTCGAGATTAGGTTTTGTCACTCTGATTGTCGGAGAGGTATCTCTGGGCCCTCTCGGTAATGCATATCACTATAAGCCTTGCAAGCATTACAACTAATGAGTTAGTTGTGAGATGATGTATTACGGAACTAGTAAAGAGACTTGCCGGTAACGAGATTGAACTAGGTATTGAGATACCGACGATCGAATCTCGGGCAAGTAACATACCGATGACAAAGGGAACAACGTATGTTGTTATGCGGTTTGGCCGATAAAGATCTTCATAGAATATGTGGGAGCCAATATGGGCATCCAGGTCCCGCTATTGGTTATTGACCGGAAACGTGTCTCGGTCATGTCTACATAGTTCTTGAACCCGTAGGGTCCGCACGCTTAACGTTTCATTGACGATATAGTATTATATGAGTTATGTATGTTGGTAACCGAATATTGTTCGGAGTCACGGATGAGATCATGGACATGACGAGGAACTCCGGAATGGTCCGGAGATAAAGTTTGATATATGGGATAATAGTGTTTGATCTCTGGAAGGGTTCCGGAATTCACCGGAAGGGGTTCCGGATGTTTCCCGAAATGTTTGGGTACGAGAACACGTTATTTGGGCCAAAGGGGAAAGCCCACAAGGTTTTTGGAAAGCGCAAAAGGAAGTTTTGCGGAGTCCAGGGGCCAGACGCCAGGGTCCCTGGCGTCTGGGTCCAGACGCCGGGAACCCTGGCGTCTGGCCCTGGAGTCCGAGAAGGACTCTTGCCTTTCGGGTGAAACCGACTTTGTGGAGGCTTTTACTCCAAGTTTCGACCCCAAGGCTCAACATATAAATAGAGGGGCAGGGCTAGCACCAAAGACAGATCAAGAAACATCAAGCCGTGTGCCGGCAACCCCGTCCCCTCTAGTTTATCCTCCGTCATAGTTTCCGTAGTGCTTAGGCGAAGCCCTGCGGAGATTGTACTTCACCAACACCGTCACCACGCCGTCGTGCTGCCGGAACTCATCTACTACTTCGCCCGTCTTGCTGGATCGAGAAGGCGAGGACGTCATCGAGCTGAACGTGTGCAGAACTCAGAGGTGTCGTGCGATCGGTACTTGGATCGGTCGGATCGTGAATACGTACGACTACATCAACCGCATTGATAAACGCTTCCGCTTAGCGATCTTCAAGGGTATGAAGATACACTCCCCCTCTCGTTGCTATACATCACCATGATCTTGCGTGTGCGTAGGATTTTTTTTGAAATTACTACGTTCCCAACAGGCGAACCCCATCATAGTCCAGAAAAAGAACATCTCATTGTGCATGTGTGTCGACTACACTGACATCAACATGGTTTCCTGAAAGATCCATTCCCGCTGCCCCACATCGACTCCACCACGGGCTGCAAATGGTTCTGTTTCTTGGACGCCTACTTTGATTACCATTAGATCCGGATGAAGGAGTCCCAGTTGGAGAAAACATCTTTCATCACACCTTTGAGGCCATCTTTTTACATCACAATGCATTTGGGCTGAGGAACATAGGCGCCACATTGATACAAGAATGCGTCCACGACCAGATCAGCATCAACATTGAAGCTTACATCGACGACATCGTCATCAAAACAACGAGCAAAGCTAACCTGCTCTCCGACCTTGAACAAACATTCTCCAATCTATGTTGGTTCAACATTAAGTTAAATCTACAAATGTGTGTTGTTTTTTGGGTTCCTTCAGGACGAACTCCTCAGCTTCATCGTCTCCCGACAAGACATCAAAGCTAACTCAAAAAAGATAAAAGCCATCCATGTTAGGATGTCCTCTGCCCATGCGCCAGTACCATTGACTGTTGAAACCTGACACTCTATTTATTACTGACGGACACCAGCGGTGAAAAGTCTCTGCCAGGCCCACATGAAAGCTGCCACATCAACATCTGCTACCTATTTGTCAGAATCATTGACAATCAAAGTGACAAACCGATTACTATTGACATATTACGGTCACCAAAAATGATCTTTGGTGACAAATGGGCTGATCAAAGGTGGCAATCTTGGTCGTCACCGAAAATGGACATCTGTGACAAAATTGTGTCTGTCACTTAAGATACGATCTTAGATTAGAGAAAAAACTGGATCCATCAAGTTTTTTTTTTCTGACAGTGCTTCGGTGATGAATGGGGTGATGACCAAAATCATCACAAGCATATTTTCGGTAAACAAAATTGGTTTTACGTGACCTAAGTGGACCGTAGCTAAAAGTCCTCTAATTTGTAGTGAGGGGCTCGCTCACGCGTGGCTTAGATGGATCGCAATCTTGCTTTCCACAGCAAGCTCGAAAGTGGTGGTTAGTGGTGTTCTTGGTAGAATGATCTCTAATGCATGAAGATTTGAGGCAAGGGGGCGCAATCTCCCCCTTGCTCTTTGTCGTCGCAATGGATGCCCTTACATGAATGGTTTTGAGATTCGCCCATCCTACCTGGGTAATAGCTGTTAGGCATTCAATTTCCAAACCATTATAATGTCGCACAACATAAGTATCTGACCATTGCATTGGTGTTAGGGACCACACCATTGACTATTCAATTTTGGTGTTCGTTCTTTGAAATAGGTCGACGAAGTTGATTCATTTTGTCAAGAGGTTGATGACGATCAATCTATCAGTTGATGATGACTCATTTCCGTGGAAGTTAACAATCTCTTGTTGTTTCATCGTTAAATCGATTAACTCGAGTCAACCTATCAGTTTGTGGTGACTCATTTAAGTGGAAGTTAACAATCTCTGGTGGTTCCATCGTTAAATCGAACCTTTGAAATAAATCTATCTGGAAATTACAAGTTCATTTGAAAATAAAGATCTTTATGAAGTTCTTACACAAAGGTGTAACTCTATCCAAAGATAGCCTAGCCAAACGTCCATGACATGTAAGCAAAAAATGTTGTCAGAAAGCTATTCATCATTTGTTTCAAGCGTGTATGTTGCAGCATTGGTGTAGCAAACAATACATGTACCTCTGAACCACCACCTTGACTAGCATGGCGAATATGGTGGGTAACTGGTTGAGGAGAGCTCCCTCCTCGCTCAAGGCACAAATATGTGCCGGTATTTGTGCTTTGCTCTTGGTATTATGAAACTGCAGTAATGGCCTCGTCCTTAACAAATTCAAATTTCCGACTTGACTGAGAGTGAAGACAAGCCCACTGGCCAGGCGCCCAACTTTAAAGACTCGCGCGCATATGGTAGTCGTCTTGCCGACAGCAAAGGTCGAAGAATCCAGACTTCCAGAGGCATGCATAGTCGGTCAAGTCAATTATGGCGGTGGCCTCAAGTGGTGCGCGCACTCGATTCTCAAAGATAACGATCTATATATGCCGCCGCTGAAGACGTTGACCATGACTCCATGACCCAGACGTCGAGGATGTGATGCGCATGCACTTTCCTGCACGGATGGATGAAAGAGAATGCACTGCAGGTTCAATGCATGATACTATCCCGTTAGTGGGATCTTAACGTAAATGAGGATCATGTACATGCTCACGTCTCAACTCTATTAAAGCATGCGACACATACCTGCCCCGGCCTGAGTATCAAAGGCACCAGGCACCATTAAAAAATTCATGTCCACCACGTTACACACCAGCAACATGGTCTGTCCTATGTTAGTAGCCATCTTCTTCCTGTCGTTAGCTTTGAACCCCTCCTCGTCTGCTGATAGCACCGCAGACAAGAGCAGGGATGCTCTGCTCTGCCTCAAGTCCCGCCTCCACGGTGCCACCAGAGCCATGGTCACATGGAACCACACCACCTCGCATGATTTCTGCACATGGCATGGCGTCTCATGCGCCAGGACGCCAAGGCGGGCACCCCTCGTGGTGGCCCTGGATATGGAGGCCGAGGGCCTCGCCGGTGAAATCCCGCCCTGCATCGCCAACCTCACTTCCCTGGTAAGGATCCACTTGCCCAACAACCGGCTCTCCGGTCATATACCGCCGGAGCTCGGCCGGCTCTCCGGACTCCGGTACCTCAACCTCAGCTTCAACGCGCTCAACGGCACCATCCCGTTCACCCTCGGCGCGCTTCACAACCTTTCTTCGCTAGACCTGGGCGACAATGGGCTTTCCGGTGAGATTCCGGCACTGCTCGGGAGCTCCCCGGCTCTAGAGTACATCAGCCTCTCTGACAATTTTCTTGACGGAGAAATCCCACAGTCACTGGCGAATAGTTCCTCACTTTGTTACCTTTCTCTGGACAACAATAGCATTAATGGGGCGATCCCTGCGTCCCTTTTGAACAGCTCAACCATCATGGAGATACACCTTTGACACAACAATCTTTCTGGTGCAATTCCACCTTTCATCATGTTCCCTTCAAAACTAACCGACCTAGACCTCTCCCAAAACAGTCTTTCCGGAGTCGTGCCGTCGTGGGTGGCAAACCTCTCGTCCCTTACCTCGCTCGACCTCTCGCACAACCAGTTGCAAGGATCCATTGCAGATTTGGGTAAACTTGCCGGCCTAGAAAGCCTCGGTCTCTCGTATAACAGTCTGTCAGGAATAGTGCCACCTTCCATTTACAATATGTCTTCATTGAATTATCTTACGCTAGCCAGCAACAATCTTGGAGGAACGCTGCCTTCTGACATGGGTATCACAGTTCCTAACCTCCAAACGCTGAGCATGGCGAATAATCATTTTGTGGGTGACATCCCTGCCTCCCTACAAAATGCATCCGGCATGATGTATATCCATATGGCCAACAACTCTCTGACTGGGGTGGCTCCTTCTTTCAGCTCCATGAAAAATTTGGAGTACGTAATGTTGTACTCAAATCATCTAGAGGCTGGAGACTGGACATTCTTCTCCTCTTTGGTGAATTGTACCCAGCTGCTGAAACTGAACGTCGGTGAAAACAACTTGAGTGGGGATTTGCCAGCAAATTCCATAGCAAATCTCCCCAAAAGCTTGACCGCTCTAACTCTTAGGTCAAACAACATCTCTGGCACCATCCCCTTGGAGATTGGAAACCTTTCTAGTCTTTCCATGCTCTATCTTGATACTAATCTTTTCATGGGGCCTATACCTTTCACCCTTGGTCAGCTACGCAATCTAGTTCAACTTAGCCTGTCAAAAAACAAATTTTCAGGAGAGATACCCCTTTCCATTGGGGATCTACATCAACTGGAAGAGCTTTATTTGCATGAAAATCGGCTGAGTGGAAGCATACCTGAAAGTCTAGCTAGCTGTCAGAACTTGGTTGCATTAAACCTTTCATGTAATACTCTTGGTGGAAGCATAAGTGGACACGTGTTGGGCAGCTTGAACCAACTGAGCTGGCTACTTGATTTATCACACAATCAACTCGCAATGTCCTTACCACTAGAGATGGGTAGCTTGATAAACCTTGGATCCTTGAACATCTCTCACAACAATATTACAGGCATAATCCCGTCCACACTTGGCAACTGTGTCCAGTTGGAATCGCTTCGTTTAGAAGGGAACCTCCTGCAAGGAAGCATTCCACAATCACTAGCAGGCCTCAAAGCCATCCAAGTGTTAGATTTCTCCCACAACAATCTATCTGGTACAATACCGGAGTTCCTCGGGACCTTCACCATGTTGCAGTATCTGAATATGTCCTTCAACGACTTGGAAGGACCAATTCCCACTAGTGGAGTGTTTTCTAACACAAGTGGTGTTTTTGTCCAAGGAAATCCACACCTTTGTGCAAATTTTGCGGAACAAGAGCTGTCTAGATGCTTTGCTTCGGTACCCACAAAAGAACACAAGTTTGTCATCCCAGTGTTGATAGCTCTATCAGCTCGTGCTGCACTAGCTTTGATCTTGGGGATGTTCATTTTCTGGTTGAAGAGGGGGTACAAATCCAATGAGAACATTGTCCATTCATACATGGAGCTGAAAAGGATAACATATAGTGATGTTAACAATGCAACGGATAATTTTTCCCTAGTCAATGTAGTCGGCTCCGGGCAATTTGGGACTGTCTACAAAGGCTGGTTCGACGCACAAGATGGTACGGTTGCTATTAAAATCTTCAAGCTCAATCAGCATAGCGCATTGCATAGCTTCATTGCTGAGTGCAAAGCATTGCAACACATCCGCCACCGGAATCTCGTGAAGGTGATAACCGCATGCTCAACTTATGACCCAGTGGGAAATGAGTTCAGGGCTCTAGTCTTCGAGTACATGGCTAACGGAAGCCTTGAAAACCGACTCCATAACCACCAGTGTGGTGGTTTGAGTTTAGGCGCAGTGATATGCATATCAGTTGATATTTCTTGTGCTCTTGACTACCTACATAATCTGTGCATCCCACCGGTTGTTCACTGTGATCTGAAACCAAGCAACATACTTTTCGACAATGACAATACTGCACGTGTCTGCGACTTTGGTCTGGCAAAGCTAATTCATGGTTGTTCATCTGGAGGGCAGAGCGGCACAACAAGCATAGTTGGACTAAGGGGGTCTATTGGGTACATACCTCCTGGTGAGTACATTATATGAACACATTCTGAAATGAGGTTGCGAAATCTAGTATGAGTAACTGTATCAATTACTAGCTTGCTTTTACTAACACTAGCATGTTTCATTATGAGCTCCTCTGAAGAACTTTTTGTTTCAAAACATTGTCGCAGAGTATGGTATGGGAGGTGAAATCTCCACTGAGGGAGACATTTATAGCTATGGCATTGTTCTTTTGAAAATGTTAACACGAAAACGGCCTACTAATGAAGAATTCAATGATGGCTCGACGCTCCGCAAGTATGTGGAAGCATCACTTTCACGAACCCAAGACATTCTTCAACCCGGCCTTGCTTCGGTGACGGGAGATCAGTTTGTTGATCAAATCCCAAACTTTCAAGAATGCAACACATTTGCACTGAAGGATATGTGTGCTCTCCGTCTCCTTAAACTTGGCTTATTATGCTCTGCGGAATCACCGAAGGATCGCCCTGCAATGCGCGATGTCTACAGCGAAGTAACTGAAGTAAAAGAGGCGTTTTTCTCCATGGATAACCGAAGCAACGACCTTACATTATTAAGGCAAAAAGGCGGTCGATGAAGATTAAGCTCGTTGCTTCGACCACGGCATGAAAATATGTTGGTATCTTTTTTTCCTTTTTTGTGAGCCAATATGTTCGGCTCACTGCGGTGAAGAGCCCTTTACATGATAATGATGGGTTTCTACTAGGGAAATGTTTTATATTTCTTTGCTAGAAAAACTAGAAGACTAGAAAATGACACATTGTACAAATATTGAAAATACAGTTCGAACAGTGAAGCTCATTTTCAGTTCACCTCTCCCCACGAACATGCAAATTTTCATCAAAATTTGTGATCATTTTGTGAACCAGACAAAAAAATTCAAGATACAAATGAACAGCCATAAAGTTGTCTCTTTCGTACAAGTAACAAGTCATATTTCGCAAGATATAGCCCAGTTAACATCCATGAATTATTTCACTTTTGGGGGAACTCGGAAAAAAAAGGAGAACATGGGGTACCAAATTACTTTCCCCTGCATGCAGAACAAGGAAAAACTTGAAACAATAATCGTAAGCCTGGCAGTTTCAAATCAAACCATGTCGTAAACTGCAAAAGGATTAAGTGAACAAATCTTCCCTCTTTCAAGTTTTCCATATACACAGGTTGCCTGGTCATACATGAGAGATCATCGGTTGCTGCAGGCCAAGGTTGCAACCACACCAAAATGATGTATTAAATCACCAGACAAGTACTCTTTACACAACACACATATAGAAAAAAAACTAAATGATAAATCATGCATTCCGGGGCGCATGTACATCAACTACAGCTGATATGACGAAGTGGTGGGTCCCGAATGTAATTTAACCCAAAGGAGACGGCAACTGGCCGGCACGGCGCGGAGGGCATGTAACTAATTTTTCGGCAAGTGGTAGTGGCATAGACCGAACTCGTGAAGTTCGAGTGGCAGCCGTTGAATATCCGACTTCACTAGTGGCACAGGCCAAAATTCCCTCCACTCACTGATTGAGCCCTTGTGGCTGCAGCGTATTATGTTGTAGGTGTATTTCACAAAGAGTAAGGCTGCGTAGGTTCGCTAGTCTCCACTCTACACATTTCACCTCTGGCATCGGATGAGACTTTCATTGTTAACTTTATTTACTTTGATGAGCTAGCTTTGGGCAAAGCAATAATGTGTATTAGACTGTGTATTCTGGATCATGTGTTGTAATAGAATAGGATAATTTTGTGTTGGTATTTCATTGGTATCGTGTATGCTGGCGAATCAATCCAGTGACGGGCACCGTAAGCACGGAGAGTCAAAACTTAACAGGTTTGGTCCTTACAACATGCAGCCCGGGTGATAAAAAAAAAGACGATGAAACCTAGACCTGTTAAAAAGCCATTTTACTCCTCCCTAAACAGAATTCAAAACTGAAACAAAACTCTATCTAGGACACAAATATATGCCAGCGGGCTGATCTTTGTACAACAAACATAGTGAACTTTAACCAGCCACACTAGATCTTCTTTCTTTCTTTGCGGGAACACTAGATCTCCTTTCGACAGGGAGGAATGATAGACTTTGTATCTGATCGGTGCTAGCGCCCTAATAAACATATAAAAGTACAATCTTGATATATTTTTTGAGGGGAGTATAGTCTTGATTAACGGCCGCAAGTACAAAGTCTTGTGCGGCAAACACATCCGGGCCAGTCAGGATCACCTTGGTCTGCAAGAACAGTTTACATATGACTTGCAATGGGTACTAACAATTGTGGGAGTATAATATGTTAACACTTAATTGATTAGATATTATGATGGATCTGTAGAACAACATATGATCTGCAAGATTACAACAAGGCCATACTATAAAAAAAAACTACATGGCCAGAGCACTTACGACATCCAAACCCACGGGCACATCCGCCAGCCCTCGGGGCGCCGGCGCAATGAGCAGAATCATCTCCAGTATAACGAGCAGAAGAACCATGTCCATGTGGCACCTCCAAGCCATGATCTATATGGCACAAAGAAGGCTGTTGCACTCGTCACTCTCTTTGTCCTCTTGATCGTCACCTTGCTGCTTCTTGGTCTCTCTCTATATAATGGGGTTTGTACAGAAATTTTGATGACCACGCGCTCCATATGACTGTTGAACAATTGTAGCTGGCATAGACGACTCAAATTGGAGAGAAGTCGGCTACAAAGAAGAGAGTAGCTGGTGGCAACAGTCATCGTTGCCTGTGTTTTCTTCTCCTGGAAGTCAGGCGACTACTAAGGCGACTAGGGTTTAGCCGGGCCGCCGCCGGCCGCCTCCTTGGCGACGGCGCGTGGGCTGGCGTCTCTTTGCCAGGGCGGCGCCGGCGGTGCCGTGGCTGGTCTCTCGCTCTCTGGTAGAATTTCAGGCTGCAACAATCAACTGTGCTGATGCAGATTCATGAGTTGATCTCGTATGCCTACTACTAGTACGTCATGAGGTTTCCATCTACTGTGTTTGCGTACAGTTTCCCTGATGGTGCTTAGGGAACTTGCTTGTTGATCGGATCTGAAGACAACTTTGGATCTGTTCTTTTTGTCCCGGTGCTGCTTGGTGCAGTGATCGGTTTTCTGTCCCGGCGTTGGTTGGCAACGATCGGTTCTCTTTACTGCAGTTCTGGCTGTTTCCCCCGGCGAGGTTTTCAGGTCTATTCTCCGTCTATTCAGATCAGGGGGTATTGAGTTTCCAATCTGTTTGGCCTGGATTGATCTAGGCTTGGTCGAGTGAGTTGGGAGTGGAGGTCTCTGAATTGACGTCAGTTTCAGCAGAGGGTCGCCGGTCATAATGAAACTCATAAGTTGGAATTGTCGGGGCTTGCTCGGGGCCCGGACAGTTCGCTCACTTCTGGACATCGAGAGGCGGAATAATGCCGATGTCTTTTTTCTGTCTGAGACGCATTTGGACGAGGTTAAGGCAGAGGAGTTGATGAGAAAGTTGAGGATGGATCATATGATTGTGGCACCCTGTCTCGGTGGTAGGAGAGGTGGGTTACTCTTAGTCTGGAAGAAGGAGGTGAGGATCTACTCCCGGACTACTACCTTTAGCTGCATCGATGTGTCGGTGGAGGAACCGGATGGTAAATTGTGGAGGTTGACGGGGGTGTATGGCGAGCCAAGTTGGGATAATAAGGAGAGAACGTATCAGCTACTTCGCGATCTCCATGCACAATCGAATCTCCCGTGGGTGGCAATCAGTGATTTCAACGAGATTTTATTTTCGTCAGAGAAAGAGGGAAGACCCTCGGCAGGAGTCTAGGCTTCAAGCCTTCCAAGATGCATTGTCGGATTGTTCCTTGGAGGATATTGGTTACCACGGGGATAAATTCACTTTCTTCAGAGGAGGTCTACGGGAACGGCTGGAGCGGGCTGTCTCGAATGCATAATGGATGGATACAGAGTACTTAGCAGGAGTTGTTGCGCAATGTCGTCAAGCTGGCCGGAAGTTTGGGGCGAGGTGGCTGGCAGAGGAAACTGTGGAAGAGGTGGTCAGAACAGCGTGGCAAAAGGCAGTCGTCCAAGGGATTTGTCCTTCGGCTAGCGACAAACTGGCCGTTGTGCATAAGGATCTCCATTTGTGGGATTGAAAAGTTTTGAAGGGCCCTCGTACTCGGTTGAAGGCAACACAGCAGGAACTGGAAATGATCATGCTTGTGTCGTTTACTGCTGAGATTAAGTCGAAGCAGCAAGAACATCCACTGAAGATTGAAAACCTCCTTGAACAGGAGGAAATCTATTGGGCTCAGAGAGGCCATGCGAATTGGCTGCGACGCGGCGACCGTAACACAAAATTTTATCATCAGTATGCTTCAGCCCATAGGCGCCGCAATTTAATTAAGAGATTGAAAAATAATAATAATGAATGGGTTGAGGGGAATGATAACCTCAAGCCCCTCATTTTCGATTATTTTCGGAGCCTTTTTGATTCTGATGTAGGAATGATAGATGAGAATTTGCTGTCCACTGTTAAACTAGTGGTTACGCCGCATATGAATGTTGTATTAATTGCACCATATACATAGGAGGAAGTAAAGAAAGCCCTATTCCAAATTGGCGATATGAAGGCTCCTGGCCCGGGTGGTCTTCATGCTATTTTCTTAAAACGCTTCTGGCACATTGTTGGAGAGGAGCTTACTAGAGAAGTACTTGATGCTATCAACAATAAGAAGATCCCAGATGGGTGGAATGCTACAAATGTTGTGTTAATCCCAAAGGTGGACAGCCCTGAGGTAATAACCCAATTCAGACCCATTAGTTCATGCAACGTGGTATACAAGATAATCTCAAAGATGCTGGCCAACATACTGAAAAAGATCCTTCCTGACGTGATTTCTCCGACACAAAGTGCGTTTGTACCAGGCAGGTTAATAACTGATAATGTGTTGGTCACTTATGAATGCTTTCATTCCATTAAAAAGCAAACACATGGCTCAAATGGTGTCTGTGCTGTTAAGTTGGACATGCTAAAAGCATACGACAGAGTAGAATGGGATTTTCTTCAGCAGATGATGATAAGGTTGGGTTTTCATTCGCAATGGGTTGAACTTATTATGGAGTGTGTCTCCTCCGTAAGCTACCAAATCAGATTTAATGACATGAAAACAGAGGAGTTTTTACCAACCAGAGGCCTTCGACAGGGCAATCCTTTGTCCCCATACCTCTTGTTGATCTGTTCTGGAGGTCTATCAAGCATCTAGCTCATGATGAAGAAATTTGTGGAATTGAAGGTATAAAAGTTTCAAGGAATGCCCCTTCGATTTCTCATCTTTTATTTGCAGATGATTCTTTGATACTGATGAGAGCAACTGATCAAAATGCAAACACGTTGAAAAGGATTCTCGACATGTAATGTGTTAGTTCAGGGCAGCATGTAAGTACCCCAAAATCCAGTCTATTTTTTAGCCCTAATACCATAGTAAATGACAGGGAGAGTGTTTGTGGAATACTGGATATATTAACTGAAGCTCTGTCAGATAAGTATCTGGGTTTACCAACTATGGTCGGGGTTGACCGTAGTGACTGTTTTCAGCATCTAGTTGA